TGGGTTCGAGTCCCATCTGGGGTAAAATGTTGTTGACTGGCACTATCATAGTGAACTACTCTGAGTCCTTTGAGCAAGATGCTGCTCTGTTAGAGGGTGTTTCTCAATGTTGAGTATGCTTGCTTGGTAGCACATGTCTTCAGAGCATCTTGCTTCAGAAGCGAGTCAAGAATACTTCCTGGCATTCGGGAAACGAAGAGTGGAACAGGCGAGCAAGTGTGCAGGTGTGCGTCATATGAGAGGCCGCGCCTTACATCTTCCGCCACAGATTTGGGGAAATTGGTCCATGCGCAAAGCATTGTGGGGATTTTAAGACCGCGCAGTCTACACATGTGCAGCCTCGATATTTCTCGCTACGAAGTACGCCGGCCTCGGTAGAATTCCAAGTATGCTGGACATTGGAACAGTACTTCGGCGGGACTCGATGGCGTAGTATGCTTGAAATAGTGGCTCTGGAGCAGCTTTACTCGACATTGAGAAACACCCAGAGATTTTTGTGTTTGCAGACCCTTTACATGCACTAAAATGTTGAAATGGTAAAAACACTCATTCTCGTATGTACATTTTTGTATATATCATACAGTGCAAAAAGCACATGGAGTATAGCCCCAGTGGCCCAATGGATAAGGCACTGGCCTCCTAAGCCAGGGATTGTGGGTTCGAGTCCCATCTGGGGTAAAATGTTGTTGACAGTATCAACGGTCACATGACTTCACTTCACCACCGCTAAAAATGAAAACGTTGGGCTATAAAGGAACTACTTCATGACCTCGACTACTCAGAGTCCTTTGAGCAAGCCACTCAATCAGTGATCAATGTATAAAGGGAGTTAGTTGTCTCGTTTAGACACTTGTTAGCAACCGCTGTTTTTAAATGTAACAAAATGTACTGACGTGTTATACTTGGTACAACAGACATATGTAAATATACGTATGAATAGTACTGCACAAAAATACATGGTGTACAGCCCCAGTGGCCCAATGGATAAGGCACTGGCCTCCTAAGCCATGGATTGTGTGTTCGAGTCCCATCTGGGGTAAAATGTTGTTGACTGGCACTATCATAGTGAACTACTCTGAGTCCTTTGAGCAAGATGCTGCTCTGTTAGTGTATGTACATGCTAGGCTAGGTTATAAAGGAACTACAGCACGGTCACATGACTTCACCGCTAAGCTAAAGGCGGCTAATGTTGGTCGTTAGGTAAAAACAAATTAAATATGTATATTATGCCATTTGGTGTCTTCGGTGGCATCCATTGCAGTCGTCACAGAGTTGATGCTTGAGGAGGTTTTTATCAGGAGCAAAATGATAAGCAGGGTCTTCACATCCACAAAAACAAACAGACCAGGTAATTACAGCTAGAATAAAGCAGCTTCACTGATGTTTGCTGAGCTAACACTTCTAATTATTTAATATCCAAGAACTCAGGAGTTATTTTTCTGGAGCTGAATTCTCCCCAAAGGTCTCCACCTCTCAAACACAAACACACCTGGTGATTAAAACCACCAAAAAAGCTAAATAAAGCATATTTCATATTAATAATCTGTGTTTTTCCCATGCTCTTTGGTTGCACGTTACCTTAGCTTGTTCTTCACAAGCCTGGTGCCTAACTTCTGCATATCTTAAATGTAGATGAAAACTGGATAGAAAGTCAATTTATGAAAGAACGACCACAATACTGATGCAGTTTAAAGAGCATTCAACAGTATTTCGATTAAAATAACAGATTTGTCTTGTTGGAAAACGGTTTGTAACAATCGTTATAATGTAAGTACCCAACTCTGCAACACATATATCATAAATCCAGACATTTTAATGGCTAAATGTTATATTTTATCTGTTGCAGTTATTCCTGCTGCTGATGAGCCTATCAGAGGGTCTCTCTGTGCAGCCCACACATCAGAGTGGGCTGTGGAGAGAAGCTCTGCTCGTTGGAGAGCTTCATCTCTGCAGAGAATAAAGACAATAGAAGAGCAGTCATACATAGACACAGAGCTGCAGACAATAGAGAGGTTCATGTAGCCCCAGTGGCCCAATGGATAAGGCACTGGCCTCCTAAGCCAGGGATTGTGGGTTCGAGTCCCATCTGGGGTAAAATGTTGTTGACCGATATAGGATAAATAGATCACCTTTCTGAGTATATGAAATGAAGGAATTGCTTCAAAGCTAAAGGCGGCTAATGTTGGGCTGTAAAGGAAGCATGGTCACATGACTTCACATCACCACCACTAAGCTAAAGGCGGCAAATGTTGGCCAATAAACGAAGCATGGTCACATGACTTCACGTCATCACTGCTAAGCTACTGAGCGTGATTGTTAGCAATAGCCATTTTAAATTCAACCGTATTTTACTATATGACAGAAAACACTCATTCATGCTAACTGCCAGGAAATATGTATATTTATGTATGAACGGTACAGTACAAAAACACATGATGTATAGCCCCAGTGGCCCAATGGATAAGGCACTGGCCTCCTAAGCCAGGGATTGTGGGTTCGAGTCCCATCTGGGGTAAAATGTTGTTGACTGGCAGCATCATGGCTTTGGAAAGTGGACTACTCTGAGTCCTTTGAGCAAGGTGATGCTCTGGGTGTTTCTCAATCGCGAGTACGCTTGCTTGGTAGCACATGTCTGCCGAGCATCTTGCTTCAGAATCGAGTCAAGAATACTTCCTGGCATTCGGAAAACAAAGACTGGAACACGCTAGCAAGTGTGCAGGTGTGCGTCATATGAGAGGCCCCGCCTCTTACATCTTCCGCCACAGATTTGGGGAAATTGGTCCGTGCGCAAAGTATTGTGGGGATTTTAAGACCGCGGAGTCTACTCATGTGCAGCCTCGATATTTCTCCAAACGGAGTACGCCGGGCTCGGTAGATTTCCAAGTATGCTGGAGATTGGAACAGTACTTCGGCGGCACTCGATGACGTAGTATGCTTGAAATAGTGGCTCTGAAGCAGCTTTACTCGCGATTGAGAAACACCCGGTGTTAGTGTTTGTGCATGCTAGGTTGGGCTATAAAGGAACTACAGCACGGTCACATGACTTCACGTCACCACAGCTAAGCTAAAGGTTGCTAATGTTTGGCGTGATGAAGTTTAGTCGTCTCATTTAGACACTTGTAAGCAACCGTCATTTTTAAATTTAGCCAAATTTACAGACGTATTTTACTTTTTTTTCTACTTTTGTACGACAGAAGACACTCATCCTCATGTGTACATTTACATATGAATCGTACAGTAAATAAATACATGATGTATAGCCCCAGTGGCCCAATGGATAAGGCACTGGCCTCCTAAGCCAGGGATTGTGTGTTCGAGTCCCATCTGGGGTAAAATGTTGTTGACTGGCACTATCATAGCTTTGGAAAGTGAACTACTCTGAGTCCTTTGAGCAAGGTGACCCTCTGTTAGTGCATCAGTTAGCATATAAAGGAACTACAACATGGCTATATGACTTCATGTCAAGCTAATGTTGGGCGTGGTGACACATAGTCGTCTCATTTAGACACTTGTTAGCAACACTTATTTCAGGATAACAACGAAAAACACATTCAGAAACTCATTGACCTCCAGACCAGGGGACAGGAAGTGCTTCACACACACACACACACACACAAGGTTTAACCACCCATCCGGACCCCTGTACGTCTGTGTTTGTCATTGAACGTGACGATGAACCTGAACAAGGCCACTGGCATCATCTCTCACCATCATGAGACAGGGTCACACACATCCAAAACACACCACCCCTCTCTATCTCTCTCTCTCTCTCTCTCTCTCTCTCTCTCTGCTGCAGTGCACACACACATACCGAGGTCTGTCAGTCTCCAATCCCACCGCTAATCATCCCTGATACACCCCGATGCATGAAACCCCTCCTTAATCACACACCCACACACACACATACATGCACACACACCGCCATCATGAGGTGTAATTGGAGCCAGCAATGGTTCGTGTGTGTGAAATATCCACGAGTGTGTAGATGCAAAAGAATAAATGTTAATGGGTTCGTTTTCCAGTTTTTGCGACACCTTTAGATGTACGTGTCCAAGACAGCAAGAATCCTGCAGGTACGTTCACGATCAATAAGCCAACATGCATTCACACACACACATTTACACAGAAGCAGAGGCTGCCTCACACCTGCTCACACCCACACACACACATACATGCACACACACATCATCATATGGTGTGTGGTGTGTGTGAGAAATATCATTCCAATGAGTGTGTTATAATCCGGTATCTGCAGAAGAATAAACAACATGAATCCTAAGATTAAACAATTTAAAAAAGGTTCTAGTGAATGTTGCAAGACCAATGCAGATGAAGTAAACCATATACATGTCAAATAAAATACAATAAGCTTAATGTTGCAGGGATTGAAACCAAGTCAATCCAGGAGTCTATGTAAATACAATAAGCTAAACTGTGCATCAGACAATAAAGACTTTGAATCTTTGGAAACCTTGCAACATTCTCCAGCACTATATTATTTCTACTTCTTGCACCTTGTCTATTGCGTTTGTATTGTGTTTCGCCAAAATTCCCCAAATTGGGATCAATAAAGTACCTCTTATCTTATCTCATTTGTTTTATAGTTATATATATATTTATGTTGCATTGTTAGAGGAACCTGAGACTTGCCATATCTACACTGAAGCTGTGCATTTTACAATAAAGCCTTGACATTTTTGAAAACCTTTCAACATTCTCCAGCACTATTTCAAAATTCTACTTCTTGCATTACGTCTATTGTGTTTGTATTTGCTTTATAGTTTAATATATATTTATATATATATATATATATTTATGTTGCATTGTTGAGGAGCCTGGGACTTGAGTTTGCCATATCTAGACTGAATCTGTGCATATGGAAATAAAGCCTTAGAGAACCTTTCAGGATTGGGTTTCTCTGCAGCAGGGGCCTGGGATCGAACCGGCGACCTTCTGATTGACGGTTTAGTATCAAATCAAATAAATAAAAGAAGCCTTACTTGCTTTCCCTGGCCGGGGCCTCTGCAGCAGCTTCTGCACGGTGAGCAGGTCCTCGGTCTTCACCGCCTGCAGCAGCTCCTGGTCCTTCCCCATCTCTGAGAGCCGTTACTCCCGCAGCATCCTCCGGCACACAGCGGCGCTTCAGCCCAGCCGAGGGTGCGTCTTCCGCGGCTACAAAAACAGCCTTCTGCCCCCCTCCCTGGTTCTCTTTTCTCGCTTAGAAGAGACCCTCTAGAGCTCCGGGGGTGGGAGAGAGGATAGACTTTGGGGGGGGGGGGGGGGATGCTCTCGTGTTCCCCCCGTTTAGTGCACGGTGGATTTGGGGAGGTTGGGAGGGGGTCGCTCCAGATTCCGGTGCGTAATAGTTTCTCGGTTCCGCGTAAAACCACCGTCTCCAAAACAACGGAGGCAGGAGACGGTTACCGGAGGAGGGGGAGGCACGTCACACGGACTAGTAGACACTGCGCGTGGTTGATTGTGCGTGCAGAAATCGGGTGCGCGCGGTGTGCGTTTCCTCCTGCAGCCATCCCTCCGCGTGCTGCTCGGGCTCTGGATTCGGGAACGGAGTTTTTTTTTCTCTCCGCGTATAAAGAGGAGGGGGGGTAACGTGCATGCGCCCGCTGCGCGCTCCACAGCTGGCTCGCGCTAAACGGCTCGTGCTGCAACTTGGGGGCGGAACAGGAGCGCTCTCCCCGCCCCCTCTCTCATCTCGCCGCTCCCTCTACTGCTGCAGAGGAATGCACAGAATAATATGTGTTTATTATCTTAATATTAAATGCATATAGTTGTATTAGGTTGTTTTAGTTTCAATTGAATCATGGTATTACTCCATATCAGAGTGAGATGTCATCCAGGTAAAAATTTGATTCAAATTCAAGATTCAAATATTTATCATCATCTGCAGTACAGTGTTAATATGGCACTGGAAATCTGAAGTCAGGCTCCAACAATGCAACACAAATATATATGAGACAAATAACAATAATTTAAAAAACAAAGAAAATGGTGCAAGATTATGTTGCACGACCAATGTGCAAATACTCAGATCTTTAACGTGGCAATGAGGTGAATGTCTTAGACTTGATTCATCCTGTATATTAAACTGCACCGAAGCTCAAGCACCTGATGCTATTTTTAATTGGCTACTAACAAGTGGTGCAGGAATGAGTCAGCATTTTATCGCTTCCGATTCCCTTGAGATCAATTACAAACATCATCACGCCCAATATTAGCCACCTTTAGCTTAGCGGTGGTGAAGTGAAGTCACGTGACCGTGCTTTAGTTCCTTTATAGCCCAACATTAGCCACCTTTAGATTAGCGGTGGTGAAGTGAAGTCACGTGACCGTGCTTTAGTTCCTTTATAGCCTAACATTAGCCTCCTTTAGCTTAGCGGTGGTGACGTGAAGTCATGTGACCGTGCTGTAGTTCCTTTATAGCCCAACATTAGCCACCTTTAGCTTAGCGGTGGTGACGTGAAGTCATGTGACCGTGCTTTAGTTCCTTTATAGCCCAACATTAGCCGCCTTTAGCTTAGCGGTGGTGACGTGAAGTCATGTGACCGTGCTGTAGTTCCTTTATACACTAACTACACAAACACTCATTGAAAGACACCTTGCTCAAGGGACTCAGAGTAGTTCACTTTCCAAAGCTATGATAGTGCCAGTCAACAACATTTTACCCCAGATGGGACTCGAACCCACAATCCCTGGCTTAGGAGGCCAGTGCCTTATCCATTGGGCCACTGGGGCTATACATCATGTGTTTATTTACTGTACTATTCAAACGCAAATGTACATATTTCCTGGCAGTTAGCATCAATTAGTGTTTTCTGTTGTACAGTAAAATACGTCAGTAAATTTGGTTGAATTTAAAATGGCGGTGGTGACGTGAAGTCATGTGACCGTGCTGTAGTTCCTTTATAGCCCAACATTAGCCGCCTTTAGCTTAGCGGTGGTGACGTGAAGTCTTTAGACTGTGCTATATTTCATTTAATACACTTACTGATGCACTAATTGAAAGGCACCTTGCTCAAAGTTAGGCATGGGTATCGTTAGGATTTTACCGATACCGATACCGATACTGCTTATCGATACCGGTATTTTTCGATACTCTTATCGATACTTTTCCATAATTTGGTGCTCAAAATTATAGACATGATTACAAGATGTGAAGATTAAACAACAGTCATTTTATTGTAATTTATTTTTATTTATTATTTAATGTAACTTTTCAATGTCATACCAAGCAGGTATGAGTGTGTTTGACAGTGTGTCTCTGGAAGGGGGGCGGTAATTAGGGGCAGTTCATAAATCCATGTAAACATGACGCTGCGTGTGCACCTCTTAAACCGGAAGCTCCGGCCGGCTAACCATTATAATCCGTTTATTGCGTTTATTATTTATAATTGTAATGATGGATTATCAGTAATCATTTTAAAGTTACACAGAGACATTGGATTAACCGTTTTTATGATAAAATGACGTAGAAAAGATCGCTTTTGCCAGTTATGTGCTAAAGTAGCCGTTAGCCCCGTTAGCCCCGTTAGCCCCGTTAGCCCCGTTAGCCCGTTTTGCTAAGTGTTGATTTAGACTCTTGGTGTTGGACTTCTGTTCCGAGTAGGTAAAATGGTTAATATCGTCTGTTAGCTGAGTGTTTCCCGTTAAGTGGGTATGCATCATTAATAGGTTGTTAAATGTTAAGAAGCCTTGAGACGCTGTTTCTAGCAAGATGTTGCGTCTGCCCCTATGGTCTGCCCCCGGAAGTCTCACAATAATAAGAGCGCTGTTAGGAGAGATGACGAGTGGCATTCACAGTGGCCAATCAGAGTGGTAGTCAAACCGGATACGTCACACGGGATGAGGGTTCCCAACCAACCAGAATTGTTTAAACTAAGGAAGTAGCGTAATTCATATACCGATAGCAGCACCGTTTGTCCAGCAGCTTAACGGTATACCAATACTGTCCAATCAGGTACCGGTACTGACTTAGGACTCTGAGTAGTCCACTTTCCAAAGCTATGATACTGCCATTGAACAACATTTTACCCCAGATGGGACTCGAACCCACAATCCCTGGCTTAGGAGGCCAGTGCCTTATCCATTGGGCCACTGGGGCTACACAACATTTGGTTTTGTACTGTACAATACATACGTAAATGTACATATTTCCAGGTGGTTAGCATGAATTATGGTTTTCTATCGTACAGTAAAATACGTCAGTAAATTTGGTTGAATTTAAAATGGCGGATGCTAACATCACGCTCATTAGCCACCTTTAGTTTAGCTGTGTTGACGTGAAGTCATGGCTCTTTACTTTAGAAACCATAAAGTGGTGTTAATATGTGGAGATTATCCTGATGAGCAAAGCTTGAAGATACCACCACCAATAGAGTATCTAGCTTAGCACACATACTTATCCTTGTTCCAGGCCTTTAAGCTAAGCTAAGCTAGTTATTGCTAGGTGTAGCTGCCTGTAGCCACAGATATGAGAGAAATATCAATCTTATATAACTCTCAACAAGAAAGCAATTAAGAGTTTTCCCCAAAATATTAAACCTGTTCTAAAGAATCCTGTTTTATAAGATGTCCCAAGACACAAAGTATTTATTTAATGATGTTTAAGGCTGTAACCGGCAAGCATTTAGTGGTTAAGAGAACATTTCAGTGATTCTGACCCTGACTCCAACATCCAACTTTCTTTCTCTGTCCAACCTCCTCCACATTTTCACTTCCACTCTCCCCTCCATTGTGTGTGTGTGTGTGTGTGTGTGTGTGTGTGTGTGTGTGTGTGTGTGTGTGTGTGTGTGTGTGTGTAGTGTGTGTGTGTGTGTGTGTGTGTGTGTGTGTGTGTGTGTGTGTGTGTGTGTGTGTGTGTGTGTGCACGCGTGTGTGTGGGCAGTGTTCAGTGCTTGCTTGCTGCTCTCTTCCTCCTCCACATATTCAGTGAGTTATGTAAGAATACTGAAGAGTTGCCCATATGGTGTGAGAGCGTATTTATAAATCCATCCCTGTTAATTCTGCTCACTCTCCTACGGCCATGTTAATACTAATACGTAATATATAAACGCTTAATTGTAAAGTCTACCTGTCCTTTATTACTATATGCATGTGTCTTTCTTAGTATTATGGTTTGAGGCACAATTCAGTATATGTCCAGGAGAGAAAACGATGAATTCATCACGTATTATTACACTTTTTAGTACTTTTTCTGAATTCTAAGAGAGATAAAAGTATATTATTTTACTTGCTTTAAAACACAAGGACAGGAGCATATTTAAAAGATGGTAGTTTTAGTGTTTGCATAATATTTTAGAAAACATTTTTGCACTGAAATTGAATATTTTCACAAGAAATTAATATTTTTTCTGCAGTAATCTGAATTATTTTAATTGTTTCATTATTTAACTGTGTTTCGTGACAGTTGTTCCATTTCAGAATAAAATAAAAAACAATAAATAAAATGAAATAGAAAAACCTCTATGCAAATATAATACATTAAAGTTAAAATGTGCAACAAATCTAAAAATGACACAATAACATAAAAATTGTAAGGTAAACATATGCACATTGTTCTACAATATATAACATCAATAAATATGTATATTATAATATATACAGTGGTGTACTAGTATTAGTAAAGATATAATTAAAAAAAAGTAATTATTGCTCGAAGTTTACAGTGTAATAAGATAAGATAAGATAAGATAAGATATTGATCCCAAAGACAAGGCATTTTACAATAAAACAAAACTAGAAATAAACAAGAAAGTAGAAAATATACATGTTGAATTTGACAAGATATTATATATGCAAATATATACATACATAAATATATGACATATGACATATGGAATATTAAATATTAAACAGATGATATATGTGTAAAATGTACAGCGTGGTTTTATTCCAAGAGAAACTATGGAGCAGAGAGTTCTCTTCCAGCCAGAGGTGATTTGTTGTACAGAGTTATTGCAGTGGGCAGGAATGTTTTCCTGTATCGGTCCTTGTGACAGGGGAGCTGCAGCAGTCTGTTGGAGAAGGAGCTCCGTTGACTGTCCAGCTGCAGGTGGAGAAGATGGGTGGGGTTATCTGTCTGTGCAGCTGCAGGTGGAGAGGATGGGTGGGATTATCTGTCTGTCCAGCTGCAGGTGGAGAGGATGGGTGGGGTTATCTGTCTGTCCAGCTGCAGGTGGAGAGGATGGGTGGGGTTATCTGTCTGTCCAGCTGCAGGTGGAAAGGGGGGTGGGGTTATCTGACTGTCCAGCTGCAGGTGGAGAGGATGGGTGGGGTTATCTGTCTGTCCAGCTGCAGGTGGAGAGGGGGGGTGGGGTTATCTGTCTGTCCAGCTGCAGGTGGAGAGGATGGGTGGGGTTATCATGATGGACAACAGCCTGTTCAGTGTCCTCCTCTCCACCAGCTTCAAAGGGGTCCAGCTTGATGCCGATGACAGACCCAGCTTTCCTGATCAGTTTATTGATCCTGCTGGTGTCACCGGCTCTGATGCTGCCCCCCGGCAGACCGCAGCAAAGAAGAGTGCACTGGCCACAACAGACTGGTAGAAGATCTCCAGCATCTTGCTGCACACGTTGAAGCATCTCAGCTTCCTCAGAAAATAAAGTAATAGTGACAGTAAGTTTAAGTAACAGTATGTTTAAGTAACTTTAAATCTTGTTTTTTATTCATTTTGGGTTGTCTGTATAGATGTGTGTTTTCAATTGAGCTTTTAATCAGCTATTTGTCTTATATTAGTCTTTCTGTCTTATTTATTTATTTATTTGATTGTTGTGCTAACTTGTCTTTTTTTATTGCACAGTTAAGTAAGTCATCCTTACTGCATGTTGGCATAATAAATAAGATAATTGAATAGCTCTTTTGTGTAGGGAATATAGGCTAAGGCACTACACATGAAACCAGGTTTATTCTCTAAACTGGAGCATTGAGGTTGTGTGACGCATTTAGAAAAACACACTGCCCTCAAGTGGCCTGTCACTAAACAACATGCACAATCCCAAGAGAGTTAAATCTTGTTGTTAAATTGAGTTCCTGCGAGAATAAGCAATGATACATTAAAAACATTAGTATTTTAGTGCATATTTTAATAAAACAAGTGGCTGAAATATGCACATTTGTTTGTGTATTTTTATAAAATGTTGTATGTAAGTAGATATAGTAGACAGTAAAATGTTGTATGTAAGTAGATATAGTAGACATTACAATGTTGAATGTAAGTAGATATAGTAGACAGTATGAAAATATAATGTAATATAATAAAAGAGAATACAAACAAATACCTATTAAACAAAACACAACTTTTTAATATGTTGGGTGTTGTTTTCACTTTTAAAACATTAGAAAGTTGAGTTCATAATAATCGGAAATTTGGAAAACGAGCAAACCTCCGAACAAACGTGGATGTTATTTGTAATTAAAAATAACATTTAGTAATGGGAAAAAACTATAAATATAGAAGATATGGAAATAATAGTGTATGAATAATTAAAAACGAACTGAAATCCGTACTGTCGACTTATTTCTCCGTAAACAAATACAAATATTGTTATTTTCGTGTTCATACGGGTCACTTGAATGCGTCTTGAAATCGACGTTTCCATTTCCTGTCCTGTGATTGGTCGAAACGAGCGTCACTCAGAACTGAACGTCACTTGAAGCAGGCGGAGTGAGAGGAGCAGGTTGCGAAGAACAGGAGGATTTTATACATTTAAATATAAGTGGTTGCATACTGTGACCGGACCTAACACGCAAGCTGGTGAGTAGTAATGTAGTTTTTGATTAATATTCCTAATTTATTCTGTATTTGCACATAGAAAGACTTTCTTATTGATGAAAAATCAATTCGCGCTTTCAAGAGCTTTGCTATGGAAAGCTTAGTCCTCTCGAGCTATCGCGAGACTTTGATCTTCTACCGTTAGCTTACCATATCTCATGTTGTTAAAGCTAAATATGTAATATAAGGTGGTGTTAATCTCAACCTTTAACTGCTTAATTAGTTAAATAGCACTATGACGTATATTACAGCTCACTGTTTAGCTTCTTAACACATTATTTATCGATTTAAAAGGGGCAACGTGAACTGCGAGATCCTCTGTTGTGCTGTTAGCTTAGCAGCATGCTAATGTCGTGACTGTTGATAGTTGATCAACACTTTGTACCTGCCGTTAAAATCACGATTTTAGACCCTCAAACGTTACTGACTTGCTTAAACAAAATGTGCAATGATTACATAATAACACAATAGTAACAATTAACATAATAACTTAATATAGTAATGAGCATTCGCACTGTTTTCTAGGTCGCACATGGTTGCATTTGAGCCTTTTGTTTGCTCTGTTGTTATTGTTTCAGAAACCCTCTCAAGCAATGTTAATAATACATCTCTATTTGTGCATCACTTTTAATGCCCAGAGGATGCAGATCAAAGTGCTTTGACCGTTTGATAAACAGGGAATAAGATAACAGTCAGAGGCTAAAAGACATTAGCACAAATGCACCATGTGTTCATGACACACACACACGATTCTGTCTACCTGTCCTAGTACTATATGAATGTGTATTATAGTTTGAGGCACAATTCGGATGTCAAAGGGAGTCAACGGTAAATTCATCACTATTTTTTTACACTTTTTCCCCAAGAAATTGTACTTTTTCTGAATTCTAAGAGAAATATAAGTAATTGCACACATTCAATTGAACTTGCAAAACTTTAAAACACAAGGATAACAGCTATAATATTTGGAATAAAAGAAAAAGCAGCAGGAGCATATTAAATAAATGGTAGTTTTAGTGTTTGCATAATATTTTAGAAACCATTATGCACTGAAATGGAATATTTTCATACCTGAATTAAATTGATTTCAAAGCAAATTAATATTTTTAATCTTAATTTATTATTTAAAGGTCACCTATCATGCTATTTTTATGCAATAGCATAGGTCTCAGATATATAAAAAACATGTCTATGAAGTGTTGAAACAGATCACCCATTCTAGCCATGCCTCATATCCCTCTATTTCACTTCCTGTTTCAAAAGTGCTGATTTGGGTAAAAAAGAAAAAAGGAGGGGGCTGAGCTCATGGGGGACCCGGCAGCTACTGTCTAAACTAAATACTGCCGTGATGAAACGCCATATCATGGATTATCAAGGATTATTTCTGAAACAGTATGGAGCTCAAAGGCTTTCTCTCTTGCCGGTTATACCACAAGGTGAGTTCCTTTTTATTTCCTGCTTCTTCACACACATGGGCCCAATCCCAAACCGCCCCCTACACCCTACCCCTACACACTACCCCTCCGTTCGCGCGGAGGGTCCGCCACATTAAGTGCTGTTCCAAACCAACGAGTGTGGAGAGGTGTGGAGGGGGAGTGGGCTATCAAGCCCTCAAACAGCGAGTCTGCATCGGTGCTGACTTGAGACCGGTCTCTACCTGACCGGAGTCACGCTGTGTGTGTCTGTCAGGAAACACGCTGTTTACAAACAGTTCCAGCAAACATCCACTGATAAATTGCGATGTTAACAACCTCATGATAACCTCATATTTTTTTAACTTAGGATCATACCTGTGTTTAGTCTAGAAAAAGGTAAATGTGTGCATTTTATTATAAAGTTGTGTATATTTACAGACTGTTGCAAAAACTAAGAAGCTTATAAACATCAGGTTTAAAACTAAAAGAGCTTTACAAAAAAGTAACACAATGAAAGATGTTTGGAGTTTTATTTGAGTTATTAATTTACATTTTTTGTCTAAGAGATGCTGATTTGAAACCGTTGTTACATACAGTTACGGCATTTCCTGTTTCTGCCGGAGAGAGGGGAGTTTGTCCCAAAGCTTGCCGCTGTATTTACTCCCTCCATCTGACAGGAGGGAGCCTCGTTGAGCTGCGAGTGTGGCTACAGACGGAGTTCACTCCGTCACGGAGGGGTAGGGTCGAGGGAGTGGTTTGGGATTGGGCCATGCTCTCCAGTACAGGTTAGCTCTGAGTGTTAGCGATGCTAATGTAAACACTGACCATATTACGTCTAAAACAGTCGGGCATTGTTTCTGATAGCAACGTTTCTGATAGGGCCGTGGGTCCACATTTCAGATATTATGTCATATCGGACGCAAATCTGGATCAGCTCCGTTGTTCCCCCGTTTTTAGAGATTTGGGTACGGAGGAAAAGAGAGGGTTTTATTTCCTGGCGCTGCGTGAGTTCCCTGACACACCGGGGACACATGTCTATGTATAAAAGACACCAAATAGTGCATTTTGCATGATAGGAGACCTTTAATTGTGTTTCATGACAGTTGTTCCATTTCCGCAATAAATAAAATGATGATGCAAACATGATTCTGTGGAACACATTATGGAAATGTATTATTGAAAATCAGGAAATGCAACTCCTAACGTGTGATACCAGACAATGCTGTTGCTCTATCTAAAAGGAGAAGTGCTGTTTGCTGAATGAGTCACTGTATCCTGATACACTAGGACTTATTTCCATTCAAACAGAATTATGCTGCAGTTTTTAACTTCAACACAACCTAGACGTGTGGTGCCTCTGCAGAGTTTCTATGGCTACCCATCAGCCTGAATGCACATTTAAATTAAACTGGCAATATATTTTCATTTCATCCATTTACTTGTATATAGACTCTTCTGGCACTATTTCTATTCTATTTGTATTTACTTGCACATCTCAAATCATTCTCTTGCTCTATTTGTTATCAGTTGTATTTGTTCCATGTCCTATATATATGCATGGAGCTGCTGAGCACATGATGATAACGACTTGAATCTTGAAACTTTAATCTCCACACTCACTTTACCTTCTTGTCAATAAAGGCTGGTTTTACAGTCGTAACTTTCACGATGGGTTTTCCATAATAATAATAATGATGATATTAATGTAAGGAAAGGAGAATTATGCTGCAGTTTTTAACTTCAACACAACCTAGACGTGTGGTGCTTCTGCAGAGTTTCTATGGCTACCCATCAGCCTGAATGCACATTTAAATTAAACTGGTATTTGCTTTCCACCTCCACCTCCACACACTACCTACTTAATAAAGAGTTTCAAGTTTCAAGGCTTTATTGTCATTTACAAATTAGCTACAGAAAGTATAGTTATGGCAACGAAATGTTTAAGTCCCAGGCTCCTCCAACAGAGCAACATGTGTGTATGTGTATATGTATATATATATATATATATATAGAATGTTTTGAGTTGTGCAAGTAAATGGAAATAGTGCAAGAAGAGTCTATACACAAGTAAATGGAATGATATATTAGATACATAATCATTTAATTTCATATTCTGCTCTTGTACATATCCCATATTCTATTTACCTGTACATAGACTTTTTGCAGTGCACTACTTTTTATTTTGTATTTTATTATATGTTGCGTTGTTGGAGGAGCTCAGGTCAGAGTAATGTCATTTCTACACTGTAGCTTTTGTGCATATGACAATAAAACCTTTGAATTGAATAATATGCAAAATGCAAACGGATGAATGTTTATCGATGTTCTTTCAAAAGTTCCGGTGTGATGGTTTTACAGTTGTAGCTTTCATGATGATAATAATAATGATGATATGAATGTATGTTTGTCCCTGTTGCTCTGTTGGAGGAACTTGTGACTTCAGTTTTTCATTTCCATTTCTACACTAGCTGCTGAGCACATGATGATAAAGCCTTGAATCTTGAATCTCCAAAGTCACTGTACCTACTTGTCAGTAAAGGTAACTTTCATGATGGCTTTCCATAATAACAATGATGATAGTAATGTATGTTTGTCCCCTGCAGGAAGGGCTCAGCGCAGCCTGGGTGCCCAGGGATCCTCTGCCTGAGTGCAGGGAGAGCAGCGAGCGCCCCCCCGGAGTCATGGACCACACCAAGGGGGGCCTCGTCATCTTCAGCGCCAACTCACATCCCACCAGCAGGGAGCTGTGCAAGAGGATCTCAGAGTGAGCACACACACACACACACACACACACACACATACATACATACAGATACACATATACACAGAAACATATATACTCACACGCACGCACACACACAGAGAAACAAACATACACATACACCCACAAACATACACACACACTCCGTATACACTTATACATACACACACACTTATACATAAACACACACACTCCAAACACACTTGTACATAAACACACACACAGAGAAACAGACATACAAACATACACATACACCCACAAACATACACACATACACTTATACATAAACACACACACACACTTATACATACGCACACTCCAAACACACTTATACATAAACACACACACACACACACACACACACACACACACACACTTATACATACACACACACACACACACACACACACTTATACATACGCACACTCCAAACACACTTATACATAAACACACACACACTTATACATACGCACGCACAGGGCTGGACTGGGACAGCAAATCGGCCCTGGCATTTAGACCCAGACCGGCCCAAATCCATAAAACAAACGAATAGTAGCGGTTCCTGACAAGAAGAATAACTCAGTATAATTTAAAAAAACGCTATTATTATCCTTTTTACGTACCAGGGGCAAACAAAACTAATACATACCACAAGTATGTGTAACTATCAATCATTAGAAATTAGACCTTCAAACCCTCTCACAAAGCGAACAGTGACCGAGCACTAATAGGGGGGTATGCCCCCCACAGAAGATTTTTTTTTTAAATAACCCCTTAAATGATGACTTCTAGTGAATTTAGGGGGGGGGGACCCTATAGTGCCCTGCCTCCCCTTTCTATGACAACACAATAGAGATAGGACCAGATGAGTCTACAGGATGAGTCGACGGCATCTTTTTATATACATTGACGCTTTCATTTAATTTTTCCATCCTTTTTTTTAATCGCTGTAATTGTATTGCCTTTTTCATCTGTACACACGACACCTATTGCACGTCTGTCCGTCCTGGGAGAGGGATCCCTCTTCTGTTGCTCTCACAGAGGTTTCTTCCTACTTCCCACTGTTAATTGTGGGGTCTGTTTTGGGGAGTTTTTCCTTGAGCGCTGCAAGGGTCTCAGGACAGAGGATGTCGTACCTGTACACACTGTGAAGCCCTCTGAGACTAATTGTAATTTGTGATATTGGGCTATATAAATAAAATGTGATTGATTGATTGACGCACGCAAGGGGCTATAGTGCAAGTCTTAGGCGGCTGGTTTCTCAGAACCTCACAGAGCACACAGAACTGAAGGAACACAGGTTTAACCAAAAATACTATCCACTGTCTTTATTTTTTTTCCTGAGAATAGGTTTGAAAGAGACAGATTTAAATTTACAAAGAGAGTTGAAGCAACATTTGACAGAAATCCCACATAAATTACAAAAGTACACAACTAGCAAGATATATATACTGTATATATATACTGTACATACAAAGTAACTTATATACTAGACTGAAATAACTAAAATGAATGCTTGTTGTGGAGAGGGGCACTATGTCGTGTGTGTGTGTGTGTGTGTGTGTGTGTGTGTGTGTGTGTGTGTGTGTGTGTGTGTGTGTGTGTGTGTGTGTGTGTGTGTGTGTGTGTGTGTGTGTGTGTGTGTGTGTGTGTGTGTGTGTGTGTGTGTGTGTGTGTGTGTGTGTGTGTGTGTGTGTGTGTGTGTGTGTGTGTGTGTGTGTGTGTGTGTGTGTGTGTGTGTGTGTGTGTGTGTGGTGTGTGTGTGTGTGTGTGTGTGTGTGTGTGTGTGTGTGTGTGTGTGTGTGTGTGTGTGTGTGTGTGTGTGTGTGTGTGTGTGTGTTGCAGGTGACCTCTTTGGTCCCTGATAGAGGTCCATACAAATAGGCATTGACATAACAATACCACACAGTTAATGGTCAAAACTACATGTGTGCCTACATTTTTTTTATCTATTTCTATATTATTCATTCTATATATTGTCAATCAAAACTACCACAAAAAGCTGACTATAAACATTTTGTTCAGGTCCCAAAAGACCACTGTTGCCCTTATAAACACATAAGTAAATAAACTAAACAAAACAAGCTGCCAGCTGACAGTAATTGTTCATGAATGATGGTTAACAAAATAATGACATTCTTTCAATGAGACAACGTATCAGAGTCCCATTAAGCTATATTTTAACTTGCCAGGGAAAACCTAAAAAAGCCAGCTTACTAGCTTGAAGGCTAACGAATGTTTCTCTTATAATATTTGTCTTATTAGTGCTTCATCAAGGGGATATTAATGGGTTCCAGAACTACAGAGTATCATAACCTTAATAATAATCTTTTCCTAATTTTCTTAGCTTCTGCTTACCGCGAGTTCTCCTCCCTCTCCTCACTCGCGCTGATCTCTCTCTCCCTCTCATCTTCTTCCTCACCACCAATATCGGCCACGGGTACTAAACATGTCGGTTATTTTGACACAAGCGGCAGCATCAGCACGAAGGGCCTGCTTTTTTCTTGCCCGCAATTTTTCTGCTCCCCCTTTTCGCTTGGCCTTCGTCTTCGCCTTCGCCTTCTCCATTTCTAACTCGAACTTTTTTTTTTCTCGAAAAAATAAAATAAAATAATCAAATAAATTCAATGAAATGTAAATGTATTTCTGAACCTGTAGCCTCCCAACAGCAGCAGCAGCGCGATGCTTTGCATATTTCCTCGTGTTATGTGTAAACAGAACATTCCTTGAAAAACACACCAACACTCTCCTGGGATTCCCAAGGACACGCAGTGTGTGTTTATAGAACAGAGGACTTTCTCCTGTGTGTGTGAGATAAAATAAAACGCTGACAGTTAACGAGGAGAACATGTAGATTGTTTAAAAAATGCATGTCTATACCAAGAGGGTTAATCATGTTTCTTTTCCTTTGTTTAAAATGGTATACTGTATGTTGAAGCCTTACGTCTGTCTGTCAAATGTAAACATAAGAACTCTGTTTGTGTTCCAGGCGGTTAGGGGTGGAGCTCGGTAAAGTGCAGGTGTACCAGGAAGCTAACAGAGGTACGTGCTGGGTAACATTTACTCAAATAATGAATGCACGTGATTTATGATGAGATTTGTTTTCAAGGGTCCTATTCTGCCTTTTGGGTTTTCTCTTTCCTTTTAGATTCAAAGGTTTTAACGTCATGTGCACAGAAGCTACAGTGTAGAAATGGCAATGAAAATGTTAAGTCCCGAGCTCCTCCAACAATGCAACATGGTTATATAAGTCATAAACAATAAAACAAATTAAAAGTAAAAGAAAACGTAATATATATATATAACGTATATACAAGAACAGAATGTAAGATTAGATTTAATACGGTTTATTACAGTGATAACTATTAGATAAATACATTAGGCGCTTTCACACCAAGTACTTTGCCGTACTTAGTTCATGAGAACTCTTTAGTTCATGAGAACTCTTTAGTTCTCATGAACTAAGTACAGATCGCGTTCACACCGGAATAAGTCCCTGAGGGAGGATTAGTCAAATGAAGCCGCTGACGTCACTTCTTCTTCTTCTGCTTTGGGTTTACTGGCAGGCCGCAAACCACTTCACGGCGTATACTGCCACCCGGAGTCCCCGGCCGGAAGTCCCCGGAGTTGGGGACTGGCTTCAGTAGAAGCTGCTGGGACTCCCAGCAGCTTCTACTGAAGCCTTCAGAGTAAATCGCCAGAGCACCGACACCTCATCTCCACCGCTCCCATGTTTTCTTTTGTGTTGCCATAAGTTAGTCTCTCTGCGTTTCTGCGCTGGGCTAATGCTAATGATGCTAATGCGGGCAAATAAAATGGCGGCTTCACAAAACCTTTCAGAGTTTTACGGGGCGTGGTTTGCAGTCAGTTTAGCTTCGGTTGCTATGCTAACATCACCCATGTTATACCAGAGAAACTTTCATAACAGCGTTGTGATGCCAAACAGCGTCAATTCAGACTGACACCAAACAGCGTCAATTCAGACTGACACACATTCACTTAAGGGGAACTGGGGATATGTAACAGCTGCTTGTGTGACAGTCAGACAGTGAATACTTTAGAGCCGTGTGAGCTAACCCGGAGCTAACGGGAGAATAAACTCCCGTTGAAGAGCAGCAGCACTGCAGCGGTCGGTAAATGCCGCTGAAACACATTAATAAACAATGAACCACGGCACTCTGGAGAAAAGTATAAGGTTGGAGAAGTCGTTATTCAATTTAATCTGGCTTCGTATGATTAAAAGCAACACGATCATCGACCCGACGCAGTCCCCGGCCCGTTGTTGTTGTTGTGAGAAAATCAGCGACGTAAACTGTGACGTCATGACGCAGCAGCGGCAGCTCTGGGCAGTGTGAACAGAGCGGGAGCTGAAAAGGGAAACCGGAGCTGAACCAGAAAAGCTCTCGCTAGGAGCTAGAAAGTGAAAAGCGCCGGTGTGAAAGCCGCATAAGTTCTAGTTCCGGATTTATTTGGTGTGAACGCGACATTTCAGAACTATATCGGAACTATAGTGGGAAAAGTACTCCGGTGTGAAAGCGCCTAATGTAAGATATTTGGTGTGTTCTATAGGTTTTAGTGCATGTAAATGGTCTGCAGAGGCTAAAATCTCCGTGTTTCCTCCAGAGGGAGTTTCTCTCACACATGAAACATGTCACAGGAGAGTCATTAAATACATTTATGAACCTTTACCCAACAACGTTTTATTTTAATTAAGTCTGTAGAACAATGTCAGTGTGTGTCTGGTTTGTTTGGTGGATTTGAAAAAGATCGCCAGTACAAAGGGGAAGAAATACATAAACTACAGTAAAATATGCACATTTAATAGTAGATATTTACTATCCTGCATGTAGTCGAGGTATTTTGGGTGAAAAGTTCCTCAAACTCCTGTTTCTGACATTTGGCTTCAGATTTCTGCTTTCAGTTTTTATCTCTCTTCTGTGGGAGGATCATTAATTGGAATGCTAGTATCTACAATTTCCCACAGTGTGTGTGTGTGTGTGCTCAGAAACTCCTCTGAAGAAGCTGACAGGAGGTAGGAGTGTGTGTGTTATTGTGTCACTCAATGTGTGTTTATGTGTTCTCACGTCCTGATTGTTTCCATAGAAACACGCGTGCAGATCCAGGAGTCGGTGCGAGGGAAAGATGTGTTTGTGATCCAGACGATGTCCAAGTATGAAAAACACACAACTGCATATTTAACGAGAGACACCAATCCACCGGCTGATTAATAAACCCAATTCTCTCCCATCAACACATCAGCACACAGTGACGTACGATGATGGCAGCAGCTGGTTTTTTGTAGTAGTTTACTATTAAAGAGGTCTGAAATACGGAGGCCGAGACGCAGAAGCGTTACAGCGGCACACTCCTCTTCCATTAAGAGAAACACGTTGCAGCTTCAGAAAGGATGCAGATATAAAAACCCAAATGTTCCACATGAAGAAACATCTTCAGCGACTTGACAACACGTTCAGCTTTTAGAGAACATTCAGCAACTTGAGGAAACATGCGCTGCGTTTACTAAAAGCTGCAGAAACCAAACGCTGAAGAAGCTCTTATAACGTTTTCTCTTCCTCCTCCTCCTCCCTCCTCCTCCTCCTCTCCTCAGGGATGTGAACACAACCATCATGGAGATGTTGATCCTGGTGTATGCCTGCAGGACCTCTTGTGCTCGCAGCATCACGGGCGTTCTGCCTTATTTCCCCTACAGCAAGCAGTGCAAGATGAGGAAGAGGGGCTCCATCGTGACCAAACTCGTCGCCTCCATGATGTGTAAAGCTGGTACGTAACACACACACACACACACACACACATTATATTATTTATTACACGGTTAAGTTGTATACTCGATTCTGATTGGTCGATTCAGAACATGTGACACGTTGTTATTACAGACCGCTGTCAAGGACTATAATGACCGTTGCTAGGGAGGATATAGAGAAGGGAGAGAAAGGAAAAGATGGAGCGCTGGAGGTCAGATAGGCAGACAGGAAGTGAACACTAACAGGAAGTGAACACTAACAGGAAGTGAACTCTAACAGGAAGTGAACTCTAACAGGAAGTGAACTCTAACAGGAAGTGAACTCTAACAGGAACACACATTATCCCTGACTTATTGGGGAGTGACTGTGTTTGATCTATTTCTCACCTGGTGAAACGACCAATCACTGCTCTGTGTTGCAGGTCTGACCCACCTGATCACCATGGATCTGCATCAGAAGGAGATCCAGGGCTTCTTCAACATCCCTGTAGACAATCTGAGAGCCTCTCCCTTCCTGCTGCAGTACATCCAGGAGGAGGTGAACACACACACACACACACACACACTTTTTTCGTTGTTTGCAAATCTGACGCATAATCACTGTCATTATTGTCTTTGTCCCTTCAGATCCCGGACTACAGAAATGCTGTGATCGTGGCCAAATCTCCAGCTTCTGCCAAAAGGTGATCAAATCAGACCATTTAAGAACATCAGTATTTATTCCAATGTACAGTATTTGATTTGACATTGAATCTTCACAATGAACCAATCACAATTGAGTATTTAACGAAGCCATGTAATGCATCTTTTAAATCTTGTATCTAAAGTATTGTAACCCTCTCTCTCTCTGTGTGTTCAGGGCTCAGTCGTTTGCAGAGCGTCTGCGTCTCGGCCTCGCTGTGATCCACGGAGAGGCTCAGGACGCCGAGTCGGACCAGGTGGACGGACGCCACTCCCCCCCCCACCGTGAAGACCACCGGCGCCATACACCCCAGCATGGACATCCCACGTAAGGCACACACACACACTAAGTCCTGTCATCACTGTGAGTCATATTCCAGGGCGTAGGGAAGATTTAATATGAACTTGTGTTGGTGTTTGCAGTGTTGATCCCTAAAGAGAAACCCCCCATCACGGTGGTGGGAGACGTAGGAGGACGCATCGCCATCATCGTGGTGAGCGATTTTCACACTTTGTTCTACGACATAAAATACGTCAGTAAATTCCCCACTGGTGGATTTAAAAACAATAAATGTCTAAATGAGACGACTAAAAGTCATCACGCCCAACATTATCTTGTTTGAGACGCGTGTGTTTGTTTCCACAGGATGACATCATCGATGACGTGGACAGCTTCGTGGCGGCGGCAGAGACGCTGAAGGAGAGAGGAGCGTACAAGATCTTCGTCATGGCGACACACGGCATCCTCTCCTCCGACGCCCCGCGCCTCATCGAGGAGTCGGCCATCGACGAGGTGAGAGGGATAAATAGTAAACGGGAAAAGAAAAATCTGCCAGGGATTGTGGAACAGCCTAATCTCCTTTCCTTTCCTAAAGGAGATAACAAAGGATGCATTGAAGCTCCTTTACCATCATCTAGATCAGTAGTTCCCAACCATTTTTGTCTCTCGATCCCCTTGAGCTGGTCTCCATTCTATAAGAACCCCCCCTCACTCATTTCTGGTGTTAAACCCTCTGCAATCGTATTCAACCCAACTGACATTAAATGAAAAATAAGTTGTTGTCACCCTTACTACAAATGCATATACACTTATTGTCAGTGAAAAATAATAATATTATGTTTTTTCTAGCACTTTCAACATATTTTATTAAGACTAGAGCTTTTAATGAGACCTAACCATTCATCCATTCTTCTATAGCCACTTTGCAACTAATGTTGGCTAATTGCTGTGTGCGCCGCCGAAGCGTTAACGTGAACTACAGCAGTGTTACAATCAACACCGTCCCGGGAGAAACTGTTACTCACGGAAATAATTTGCAATCCCTAATCTTTTTATGTGACCCCTCATGTACTGCTAGGGGTCCCCGTACCCCTGGTTGGGAACCACTGGTCTAGAGCAGCGGGTCCCAACCTTTTCAAATCAGGCCCCACTTAAGAATCTAAAAAATGTTCACGGCCCACATTCAACCATAAACAATACGGAGGCTAAATAGAGTTCTGATTGGTCAATTCAGAACATGTGACACATTGTAAATCCAGTAGAACAGACCGCTGTCAAGGGCTAAGGATGATCGAGAAAGAGAAAGGAAATTAAAATTCTTAATAATGAAATGTTTCCACACAAATTATTTGGCGGCCCAATTGCAATGCCTTTGCGGCCCACTAGGGGCCCACGGCCCACAGGTTGGCAACCGCTAGTCTAGAGAATCAGCTCTTATCATGGCTGCAGCTCAGAGACTTCCTGGTCATTTTTACTCCACTAGAAACCTTCCTGAGAGGAAACGGATATTGAACAACAACTTAAACGCTGTGTTTTATTTCATTCTCCTCCCCCCCCCCCCCCCCCCCCCCAGGTGGTCGTCACCAACACGATCCCCCACGAGCTGCAGAAGCTCCAGTGTTCAAAAGATCAAAACGGTCGACATCAGCATGATCCTATCGGAGGCCATCAGGAGGATCCACAACGGAGAGTCCATGTCCTATCTGTTCCGAAACATAGGAGTGGACGACTGAGACACACACACACGCACACGGACACGGAGAGACAGACACACACAGAGATGCACACACACACACATGCACAGAAACACACACACAGAGACATACAGGCCATTTGCCTTTTCAGATCTGATCAGAGCTGAATGTCAAACACTGAAATGAACTACACACACTTCCTGCTTTTATCATAATTTAATAAATGCTAACACTTTTCTTGAGTGCAGCTTAAAGGGATAGTTTCGGAGGTCTTAAGTGGGGATGTAAGGAGAAGTCTTCCATTATCAGTGAATCACTTACAGAAGGTAATTGTCAAAAAACAGCAGGAGTTTGGAGAAACAATCAGGAATACTAGCAAAGCAATTCTCTGCAACACTTATTGTAGCTTACTTTAAGGAAAAACCCATCTAAAAAAATGAATATCAGCCAAACTGTACGCTTTATTTGGAATATATATATATAATATAAATACCTCACCCAACCCCACTTTAAAACACTCAAACTATCCTTTTTAATTTAGAAACTGACTGAACACACACTGATCCGTGTCCTTAATGGATTACTGCCTCTCTCTACACACCTCAGTTTTTTACTCTTGTCTCTTTCTGACTCACATATCCATCTCCATGTGTTTCAATAGACGTTAATGTGATATCTGTTAGCATTGAATGTCTCTTTGCAGTACAGTCTCCTTTTATTAATAGCATCAGAAAGAGTGCCAGTGCCTTCTACAGGACACACACACACACACACACAGGCCTTCACACTCATAATTAATCCAGACATAATCAGGTGTTCCAGCTAATTAACTCCAGCGTATCAGAGTGCATGCTGTTGTTTATTTATGTGGTGTCTGAATGTGCCACTAATATGATTAGCTTAGCCTGCTAGCAGCTAACCGTAGCACGTAGATGCTAACCTGGTGTCAAATCTCATTGCTAACTGGAATTAACACGGGAAATGTTTTTATTTTAGTGAATAATATCTGTTACATATATCATTGTGTGCCATCATTTCAATACCTGCTTATGTTTTATATTTAATGCCACAAATGAGCAGCTGGAAGTTGAAGAAACGTAGAAAATAGAGCATTTTTGAAGCAGTTTTTACGCTCCGGGTAGAAGTGTGAGGTCAATTGGTCGTGTGATGAATCCTGAAGAATAACGGTTGTTCACACACACACACACACACACACACACACACCTCTGGGTGTTCAAAGAGTCCTGAAGCTGGAAGAGTGAGTCAAACTTTTTCTGATGACTGAAGCAGGTCTTTGTCACTTTACCTGATGTGTTCCCAAAAATGTTTTGTATTTATTTTCAACACTTAATACGAATAAATATGACCGAAGAAAGTAAAGTCTGTTTTATTTGTGTGTATTTTCATTATGTGTACACAGGGGCGGTGAGGAACTGTACTATTGTGCAATACATACTGAATATAGACTATGGGTAGATTGATTCTACAATTTACAGATGTTCCCTAAACGTCTCACGTGCAGGATTTCTTTTACATAATTTACCATGACTTTTATTTTGAAAAACTATAGTATGAAACACATTTTTAAACCGACTATACTATGTATTCGCAGAATCAGAATGGGAGGGATGAAACCCTCTTCAATGGTCACACATGCAGAGCACAGCACAGTGTTCTCTGCTTTTAACCCATCCTAGTACCAGGGGTCTAGTACTAGGAGCAGTGGGCAGCTATTGTACAGCGCCCGGGGAGCAATGGGAGTGGGGGGCGGGGGTTGTCCGGTGTCTTGCTCAAGGGCACCACGGCAGGGCAGGAGGTGAACTGGGACCTCTCCAAGTAGCAGTCCACACTCCATATTTTAGGTCTGTTCGGGGACTTGAACCGACGACCCTACGGCTCACAGTCCAAGCCCCTACTGACTGAGCCACTGCTGGAAAAAGGTGACATACTAAACTACCATTTTTTTTTTTTATCTTTCAACATACTATAGCTATTTTTCATATTTTAAGACATCATCTTTAAAAACTACTTCCCCCCCCCACCTCTTTCAAACATAAAAAAAAGGTAATTATTCAAGAAAACCAATGTTTTCCACCTGTTTTAAAGTCCTACACACATTGAAACACAATGAATGAGACGTAAAAATGAATCGACCAGATGTATTTCTTGCCTCTCGGGGCTTTTAATGAGGGAGACATGATGGGTAATAATCAGCGAGCAAACATCAGAAGGCTTTGTGAAGGCAGAAGCAGCATTTAAAAGTTAAACTAAAGAAGAAGTCATAACAAGGCAGCGAGGTCACTTCCTGTTCAGATCTACAACCAAAGTGACTTATTGTGGAGATAAAAACAACTGTACAAGCTCACATTTGGTCTGACAAAGAGATGAAACTGTAATAAAAATACCAAGTTATGGCTGATTTTCATTCCTCTAAACAAAAGCTGTTTATTTGACCCTGTCCGATAAAGGAGCTTAATGTAAATATACTGCATGTAGTAAACAAATACTTACAAATCATGAAATACTGTGGATTTGCCTCACTTAAACATCATAAATCACTCAACCTGTTCATAGTTTTATGACATATTTCACCATAAATCCAGGAAAGAATACATGTGTCAGTCGAATTCTCATTTTCCTGTTATAATTCCCATACTTTGATCACATTAGCCGCTTTCAATCTAATACACAATGGGACAGATACCTTATTTTAAAGGCATAACAACACACAACACTAAGTCACAGAGTGTGTTGAAGTGACATTTCTGTAAAAGTGTTTCAGTGTTTGTAAGATGACAAACTAAATATGTTTTAATATTAGAAAAGGTCTACAGCCTCTATGAAGGCGGTGCTTTAGTTCGATGCTAATGCGAACATGCTCACAGTGACATGCTGATGTTTACCTTGTTAGTTGGCAACATGTGCTAATTAGCATTAATTACAAAGTGTAGCTGAGGCTCATGGGAAGAGTTTGCTGGTAAACCAAAAAATAATTAGACAAATTATTAACCAGAAGATGGTGCTAAAAGAAAAGACAACTCATGATTTATACAGCCTAATCAAACTGAGTGGTGCAGGAATGAGTTCTAGCACTTCCTGTCCCCTGGTCTGGAAGTCAATGGTTTACTGAAGGTGTTTTGGTTGTTACCCTGAAATAAGGTCTGTGGTTAACACAAGCTGAAGAGACTTTGACGTTTTGTTAGGAAATACCCAAATGGTGGATTTAAAAACACAGCTTGCTAACAAATGTCTGAATGAGGCGACTAAACGTCATCACACCCAACATTAGCCTCCTTTAGCTTAGCGGTGGTGATGTGCAAGTATCATAAACGTTTATTTTCCACTGAGATTATTTTCTAAAATAATCCGAAATCACATTGAATACGACTTCCCGCGCACCACCCAACTGTTTCCTTATCCAGAATGTTCCATTGATGCAACCAAATCAGAGCTCGCCAGCAAGCTGTATTATCTCGACACAAACTCATATAATGGTGAACAACAACATTTGAATACACATTTTGTTTGTTCAATACTTGTGTGTGAACACTGTCTAACTCAGCACCATTTTCCCATCCTCATGCTCATTTGAAAACCTTTTAAACAACTCCTGGATGATAGTCAAATCAGAATACTTATATTTATAATGATTTATTTACAAACAGAGATTGTACTGCATGAAAACATATATTTCCGCGGGAGCATTGAGACGATAACGCATCAGCCAATTTAAATTAAGAGGCTAAAATAACCCATCTCTGGTGGAATGAATCTTCAAAAATCTGACCGTTAGAGCAAGTATTTTTTAACATTCTGGGTTTTTCCGCCCACAATTTAATCTGACAAAGAAGGAACTTTGTTGTAAAAAAACAAATGTTATGCGTCTATACCTGAACCTCCATTGTTTCCAGGAAAAATGTGAAATTAAAATCTGACCTTGATCGACCGTTTGTATTGAACCCATATTTGTTCTATGTCGGGTTGTTCCACTAACTCAGGTTAATCTTCTAAAGTCATAATACTGGCACAGGGGATTTTCTACTCCTCTCCTAATAATGTTAATAATGTGAAGTGAGTTTACATGCACAGTTTCCTGATTAATATTGAAGCTCATTTACATTTCTCAGAGGAAAAACTCTCCTGTACGTTAGCATAAAAACAGCCAAATTAGCATAACAAAGGGACGTTAGCATGACAGAGCTGCGTTAGCACAACAGAGCTCCGTTAGCTTAACAGAGCTACGTTAGCATAAAAAAGGACGTTAGCATGACAGAGCTGCGTTAAGCACAACACGTTAGCAAAAACAAAGCTACTTTAGTCGATGAGCAAAGACAACTAATGATTGAAACTGGGAAAAATATATATATTAAAATGGGAACAATTTACTTTATCTTTGAGTATTGACTTTTGTATTTTATGCTTTAAGGAAGTGCGTTTGGTTTGTTTAAATAAAATCAGAAATGCTAACTAGCTTATTTAGCTAACAAGCTATTAATAGTTGTTTTTTTCAGCAATTCTTTTCTCCACTGTAAATTATCCACTCCATATCTTCGATCAATATACTAAGTATCTCAGTTTAAGCGTCCTGGTGTAAATACTTTTTAAAAAGATTATTGTTTAAGAGATTTTTAAAAACTGTACAATATCAATATCTGCCTCAAAAATGCAGCATGAACTGGATTTTTCACCTGTTTGGCTCTATACTAACTATGAGTGCCATAATGAGATGCAGAGGAGCAGTTTTAACCTCCAAGAAATGTTTGAGCCAGCTGACACTGATGAACAAATCCTTAACATATTCTCAGATGTAATGTAGCTTGGACTCAAATACCTATGCAGTAGTAAAAAAGATCCTCATACTACTAACAGTGGTGGAAAGTAACTATGTACATTAACTTAAGGGCACATTTAAGGTACTTTACCTTGTACCTTTTTCCTGACAATTTATACTTCTACCTAAAGTAAGATGTTTTTGTATAAATTAAATGAGCCAGTTTCTTTAAGCGTATCATTTTCTTGACAGATTTAGAGAGTTTCATTTGTATTTTAACAGATTAATAAGGGATATTATGTGGCAATCAATTAACATTTTTGTAATTTTTCCAATATTTTTTAACTTTAGTTTTATATTTAAAATGTTGAAATTAATACATTAAATAAATGTAAATTATTCAACTTACTTACCTACATAAACCGTTTTCCACCACTGTTCATCTATCCCTAAACAATTTTTCCTGATTCTGGTTGTTGGAAACGTTTTCCTGATGTGCATGTGAACCCACACACACACACACACACAGCGGTTAGTACACACCCAAAGATACACAAACCGTTAGAAGCTCCTATCAGCATGGGACTACACACACCCTGTTTGCCTTTGATGTCGGTAGAAAAGAGATGATCATTATTTCGTAGTCTTTCTGCCAATTGCACAGGCTAACCCTCCGATATCAGATATTTAAAACACTTTTAAATACACGCATTGAATATTTACAGACAGTATTTTCCTTCCAATCGCCCGCAGGCTGGAAAATGGGTGGGCGTTTTTTTTCCATTTTGTCACTAATCTGTGAAATGTGGCGGCCATCTTGTTTGTAGTTCTTATTACTCGACGATCAGCAGGTGGTGGCTTTTTCCTTTTCCGGAGTTTTTTCTGTGTGTTTTACGACCACGTTTTCACTCCAGAGTGTGTCTTTAAAACATGGCAGTCACTCCATGTGGGTTTTATTTTTCCTCCTCGAAAGAATCCAGTCCAATCCCCCCCAAAAAAAAAATAAGGAATGGTTCAGCGTTCAAAAGTATACGACAATCAAAAGTCATTTTTTGTCCTGTTTTCGTCTGCCCTCTATAAAGCACTTTGTGACGAGCCGGTTCAGTAAAAAGCGCCTTTTCTTAAAATAAATGAAACCCAGGAGGAGAAGCCGATATAAATAAAGCACAGAGTGTCGAGTGTGTGTTGCTTTGATTGCCAAGCCAGGAAGACAGACAAGGAGGATTGTGGGTCATTCAGAGGAGCATTCTGGGATTTGTAGTTGACGGACAGGAGACGAGAAGTTGCTTCTTTTCCTTTTTGAATGTCATTCCTGTTATTCTCCCCCCCCCCCCCCACTTCCTGTCCGTGCAGCAGATGTTTGATTGCAGTTGAAGTTCAGCCCGGGGTGATGAAGGCAGCGCTCCTCCTCTTCCTCCTCCTTACAGATGAAGGTCTACGAGGCGTTCGGGGTCTTCAGGGCGTCCACTTTGGTCTCCAGTCGGTAATCTGTGAAAACAAATAAACATTGATCCTCCTTAGCACGGTCATTATAGTGCTTAACAGCGGTCTGTGCTACTGTCACATTGACCTCTGAAATGTCCCAATTGACCAATCAGAATCCAGTATTCAA